CAAAAGGTACTTTGGAGTGTATATTGGTGAAAATATGGCACTTGTTACAATTTGGAAAGAATATGTACTGGATTTGAATATCATTTGCTTTCTTTGTAGGAGGATGCATAAACTTATGATGAAATCCATGGTCCGATTATATTGCATGCAAAGGAAAATTAAACACCCATGGGAAGAAATGATTGAAAGGACAATGATACTGATGTATAAGATAATACGACAGGCATCTTGTTTCCCAGGCAGCAGCAAAAGATAGTCATGTCATCCTGAGAAAAGATGCAACTGCTTCAAGGAGTTGCAAAGCAGTGTTATATACATATCCTCACTAACCCCAAAGCATTTTCTCCAACTTATTTCTTAATTGCCACACAGTACTAAAAAAACCCAAATTCTTCTGTGATTCTCAGGTGTCATTGTTGCACCCTTTTCCTTCTTATACAGAGGAAGTTGTACTCCAAATCTATTAACACCCACTCCTATCAGTATCAGGGTGTGTCCTACATCTGGATTGTCTATATATAACATATTATCTATACATCAGTATCACTTTTGTCCTTTGAATCGTTTCTTCCATCAGTATTTAATTTTCCTTTGCCTGCAATATAAACATACCATAGATTTCATCGTAAGTTTTGCATCCTCCTACAAAGAGAGCAAATGATATTCAAATCCAGTACATATTCTTTCCAAATTGTAACAAGTGCCATATTTTCACCAATATACACTCCAAAGTACCTTTTGTGATTGAATGTGAAGAACTGTGTAACTCCATTTCTTTGAAAATTGGAGAAATGTGTGATCAGTTTACATTTTGTTATGTAGATACAAAGAGAGCAAATGAGATTCAAACCCAATACATATTCTTTCCAAATTGTGTCCTTTGACAGATTATATCTGAAGTACTGAATGTCCCAACTTTCATTCAGGAATAACTCAAGAGGAGCTGAAGAGCTCTCTGTCTGAGAGAGAATGAGGTTGCCAATAAAAGAGGCTGTCTTTTCTCTGTCATCTCTTGAAGCACTTCCTGGCTGACCTCCGCTAATCATCAGCTTTGGCATCTCCTATCACAGACACCCCACTGAAGAGGCTGTCAAAGGCCTGCAGTGAAGAACAGAGATCTTGCCCAGCAAATGCTGACTCACCTCCCTTTTTCCAGCCATCTCATTAATTCTTCTTTTGCCCCTCATTAGAGCACCGATAGGAGGAGGAGAGATGCTTTTTGTGAAGCTAATGAACTAGGCAGAATCCTGCCTCCCTCTAGTACCTGGGCTGGATGAAAAACAACTGTGGATTTTACATACACAAACCATCCGTCTGTTATGTAATGTAGGGCAGGAATATTGCATGCTATTTCTTACCTGTAAGGCAAGGGCTCTGAACATACAGTTGAGCCACCATGATTAAAGTACAGAACAACAGAGCTACCAGCTGAGGCCTTCACCCATTCTTGAAAGGGTGTCTCCCAGCATGAAATGTGTTGCCCTTGTTCCCAATCCCTATCCTCTCTACCAGTTGTGGGTTTCAATTTTTTTTACTATCGGTTCTGTGGGCGTGGTTTGGTGGGCGTGGCATGGCCTGGCTTGCTGGGCGTGACAAGGGAAGGATGCTGTAAAATCTCCATTCCCTCCCCAATCCAGGAGAATGTTACTGCAAAATCCCCATTTCTTCCCGATCAGCTGGGACTTGGGAGGCAGAGAATAGATGGGGGTGGGGCCAATCAGAATTTTTACTACCGGTTCTCCTAACTACTCAAAATTTCCGCTACCGGTTCTCCAGAACTGGTCAGAACCTGCTGAAACCCACCTCTGCTCTCTACCACTTTGCTTCAACTCACTGGTGAAGGGTGGCAAAACCTGCCATATTTTGCACATCTGGTGGTTGACCTTGGATGGTGTCAGAGTACCAGCGAACACATTTCAATAATGCTAAAGTTAAGGATGACTTAACTCCATCTTGCTTATAGGCTGGGGATGAAATAGAAGCAAGATCATGGGAGCTATGGCAGAAAAATGATGTTGCCAAAATATGTTTGTGCAAGTGCAGACCTGGCCTTGAAGAAGAAACCAGATTGATAGATCCATCTGGTTTCTCACTAGCTCCATACCCATAGTACATTCGCTGCTTGTTTTTGACTCAGAAAAATCCCTAAAAATTTTGTAAAGGGCAAAAGCACTCTGAATAATTGAGCCCACAGCTCTCTGAATCGCAGGTCATATTCTCTTCAAATTTCATCTTTGACCACACAGAAAATGAAACTGTTGTTAATTAGAAAGGGGAACAATGATTGATGTTGAACTTCAATGCTTTGGCTTTTTCTTAAGATAGTAAATCTTTCTCCCTCTCTCTTGCAAATTCTTTGTTTATTTCAATTAAGTTCCTGTAAATATTTCTTCTCCCCCAATAAAACACAACCAATGATGGAAGCTTATTTTAAAACATCAGGACTATCTATCATTTCCTAATAAGATTCTTCGCCAAAAGGGCAGGAGCATTTTTAGTACTGTATTCTTCAACAGACAGCAAGCGGGGTTTTTTTCAGTTCATTAAACACTAGCCAGGCCATGAGGAAGATTCTTTGCTGGGAATATTTACTCCAGCTTGTGTGTACTAAGAGCATCTTTCTGCAGAAACCAACTTCTATGCCTTTTACATCAGAGCAGAATTATATGGATTTCTGAGTTTCCGCCTCATCCTATGGCTTTTGGCTGTGTTTTTAAAGCAAGAGATATGAATTCCAGCAAGAAAGGAAAAAATACTAGTTTACCCAGTTGTGACACTCAAAGAGAATTCTGTTATTTGATTTGGTCCAGTACATGCATATTTAAAAAACGGTGGGGTGGGCGGGGCGGGGGTTCTGAATCCAGCAAAATTCAGAAATACAAGAACACAAGAAAATATATAAATGGAAAAACAAGGGACATAGGGCCTGCACATCCGAGATAGTTTTCATACTTGGCAGTCAGGAGAAACATCGATTTCTTATAAGCATGTGTGTTATAATAACTGTCATGATATTATAACTGTTCTCCAAAGCACCTGAGGGCAGGACAAGAAGCAATGGGTGGAAACTAATCAAGGAGAGAAGCAACTTAGAACTAAGGAGAAATTTCCTGACAGTTAGAACAATTAATCAGTGGAAGAACTTGCCTTCAGAAGTTGCAAATGCTCTAACAGTGGAAGTTTTTAAGGAGATGCTGGATAACCATCTGAAGACTATGTCTTGCTCTGATTTGTAATTGCAAGCCAGGTGCCAAGCAGCCAGATCACAATCATATGATCATGGGGATGCTGCAAAGGCCATAACTTCACGGACTGTTCATAAATCCCCCTTATTCAGTTGCTGAACAAGTGGCCATAAGCTGAGAACTACCCATACCATAATAAGTAACCCAGCTCTTTTACCTCTTGTAAAGCTCAACTTTTGGGTCCTACCTTAAGAAGCACACCCTAAGAAGACGCTCCAATAATTCTGTTATCTTCCAGAGAATTTTTCTCCTCCCTTCTTTACTCTTTCAATAGTTAATATAAACACTAATTATATTAAAGAAAATTAATGCATACAATGCATTCAGAAAGTATTCAGACCTTCACTTTTGTCAATTTCGTTATGCTGCAGCCTGATTCTATAGTTGTTGAAATTCATTTTTTTCTCATTTACTCAGTTTCCCCATAATGACAAAGTGAAAACAGAATTTTAGAAATGTCCAAATTTATTAAAAAGAAAAAACTGAAATATCTCATTGGCATAAGTATTCAGACTCTCTGAATACTTGAACACATGAAATTTAGCTTAGGTGCCTCCCATTTCTGTTGATTGTTGTTGACATGATTCTACAGCTTGATTGGAGTCTACCTGTAGTAAATTAAAATGATTGGACATGATTCTTCAGTGCAAAACACATGGAAGCCCTCTTGGAGTTTGCAAAAAAGCACCTGAAGCACTCTCAGACTGTGGGGAACAAGATTCTCAGGTCTGATGAAACCAAGATTGAACTGTTTGGCCTCAATTCTAAATGTTATGTCTGGAGGAAACCAGGCACCGCTCATCACCAGCACAACATTATCCCAACAGTGAAGCATGGTAGTGGCAGAATCATGCTGTGCAGCTGTTTTATAGACATTTTTAAAATTCTGTTTTCACTTTATCCTTATGGGGTACTGAGTGTAGATTAATGAGGGGAAAAATGAATTTCAAGAACTGTAGAAGCAGGCTGCAGCATAACAAAATTGACAAAAGCAAAGGGAGTCTGAATACTTTCAGATATGCACTGTATATCCAAACTGGCTTTGATCACAACTCTCTGACAATCCTAATCAACTCACTTCCTTCAATGGACGTTGGAAAGGAGATGCTTAAGATGCTAAACGGAGTCCTGCATTGGGCAGGGGATTAGAATAGATGCTGTTTAAAATCCTTCTGAGCCTTGACTTTCAGCCTATGAAATATTTCTTCAGACTGTAATAAAAATGAAGGCTCAGAACAGTTTCTTCTTCTCAGTTAAGATATGCATCTCTTCAGCCAATCCAATCCATGAACAGCAAAAGAGAGTACCGAGGAGCTCACCCCATCCGAATTTTCAGTAAAATCCAAGGAAGTACTGAAGTTCATTGCAAAAAAAAAAAATGGGTGTTTTGGAGACCATTCTAGACCAATGTAAGCAAAACATTCAGCTGTTAAAAGTTTGGACAGGGGTGAGGAGGAGAAATATCGAAGGAACTGATCCAAGTCAGAGCTTTTCTGCTTTCCAAGTGTCTCGAGACACATACCGTCAATATGTCTAGAACTTCATAGATGGGCACATCCTGAAACCCTGCCCTTCCTGAACAACAATGAACTCAGGGCATCTCACCTGCCACCAGGTACAAATGAAAGCTGCTGTCACTTCAGTGGCCTGCTAGGTTCAGTGGATTTGATACCCAGAAAGAAGGGATGAACGAAGCTTTCCCTCCCGAGGCCTGGGTGAAAACAAAAATAGAACAGTGCAAAACATCAGACTTACCCTCTGCTAACTATCAGCCTTAAGGCATCCAAGTTGCCATGGTAGGCAGCCCACAGGGTTGGGGTCATGCCATCTTCATCAGGGGAATTTAAGTCCTTCTTGGTGGCTTCTTTCAGCAGGTCCAGATAGCCATCTCTGGCTGCACGGTGGTACTGGTCATTCATGGTGTAGCCTTAAAGCTTGTCCATGTCACTGGGAGAGTGAACGGCACGGAGATGGCAACAGAGTTCTAGGAAAGCAGCTGTCAGAGAGGAGGGAGCTCCGTTGCCAAGATACTTGAGATTCCCTGCCCGGAGAGGGCAGAAACTCCTCATATTGAAGGCATATTATTTGCTGTGGATTCCTCTGGGTCCTAAAAAATTCCTGCCTTTGCCTTAGCTAGCCCCTCGCAGAAGGCATGTCTCCTTTGGGCCACTTAACTGGTGGGAATATCTGCTTGGGAATGTGCTGTTGGAAACCTTGGCTTGAATTACTAAAGCAACAGTTGCTAAATCAAGAGTGTAGCACTTCAGAATACTTAGACTCATCCAGGCTCAGGATTCAAGTTTTATTCCAGAGTTGCTCTGTCCCATCCAAAGAATTCTGGCGGAGAGAGTGAAAATATTCAGAAATTTATCTCCTTCTACATGGATCCTCCCAGGGGTGAAATCCAGCAGGTTCTGACAGGTTCTAGAGAACAGGTAGCGGAAATTTTGAATACTTTGGAGAACCGGCAAATGCCATCTCTGGCTGGCCCCAGAGTGGGGAGGGAATGGAGATTTTACAGTATCCTTCCCCTGGAATGGGGTAGGAATGGAGATTTTGCAGTATCCTTCCCCTGCCACGCCTACCAAGCCACGCCCACGGAACCAGTAGGGAAAAAATTTAGATTTCACCTCTGGATCCTTCCTATGTTTATTCACCAATTCTTCCATCCTTTTTTTTTTCCCCTTTAGAGGGAATGAGAGATACACAATTATTACACAATTACTTTAGACTTTAAACTCTCTTATCCCTTATGTAGTACCCACTGCTGGCCAGTGATTTGTGGGGGCGGGGGGGGCGTGCGTGAGTGCACAGGCCTTCAAGTCAGTGTTGACTCCTGGTGATTGCATGGACAAGTCCCCACAGTTTTCTTGGCAAGAATTTCCAGAAATGTTTTTCCACTGCCTCCTTCCTAGGGCTCAGAAAGAGGAACTGGCCCAAAGTCACCCAGTTGGTTTGGTGTCCAAGGCAAGAGTAAAACTCTCAGTCGCTGGGTTTCTACGCTGATGCACCTTAAACACTATACCATACTGACTCTCTGCCTAGCAAAAGATTAATTATATGCCAAAACAGCGTTATGAAGTTATTTAGAGAATGGATCCAGGTGATAGTCTGATACTGGGCACCTGGCTATACAACAGCAGGCATGAGCTCATCTCCAACAGATGCATGGCAGGCCACCATCTTTGCACACGGGCTACTAAAGGCAGTCTAATCTCTAGTAGCATGTCAATGCACTGATGATAGACTAGAAGAGAATGGGAACAATACAGATACACACATCTGCATGGAACTATAATTTATATTTCACCTGTATGCTCAGAAATGCGAAAAGTAAATAAATGTGTGGAACACAGGTCCTTTATTGGTCACAGCTTTGCAGTGGTTTCAGATAAAATTAGACACAAAAGTGTATCAGCTCTAAATTAACTAAGTTTCCCTTCCTTTGCACCAATATAAATCAATCAGACTGCATGAAATTTCTATCAGAGATGTCATTTATTAAGCAATAACACATCTGGACTTGATACGAAAGGAAAAATATGCTACTATGCTAAGTTTGACTCCTGTTGATATACCGGTTGTACATAGATGCCTCCTGCCATATGCTTAATAAAAGATGTCTCCAAATAGCTTTCTTGGAACAAGATGGATATGATTAGCTTTCTTTGTCGATCTCTCAGTCTATCTAGCCTATAGTCATACGATCTCCCATCCATGCATTAAGCAGGCAATCCTGCTTAGCTCTTGAGCTCAGAAAAGATTGGGCAGATGCTGCTTGGTATTTACTATTTGGTAGCTTTCAGTTAATCTTCATTTGGGGGGGGGAGCATCCAAGACATCTTTGTTGCATTCATGAACTCTTTTTTTTTTTTTGGTCTTTGCAGGTACAGTATATGCCTTCAAGTTAGTGTTGACTCCTGGCAACTGCCTGGATTGGTCCCTGTAGTTTTCTAGGCAAGATTCCCTTGTTTCTAGGGCTGAAGGAGAATGACTGGCCTAAGGTCACCTGGCTGGCTTCCTCGCCTAAGGCAGGACTATAACTCAGGGTTTCCCCTTTTCTTAAACACTACACTTCAGTTTGTGCATTTACAGAATCTTTACCTGTTAAATGCAAATTAATGAACTGAATTCCACACAAGAATGACAAGGCCCTTTTTGGAAGTAGTTGGTCCTCTATCGCCATCTGTTGTTGGAGAAGTAGAAAGAGTCTAATAGTACCTTTCCAGAGCACAGTAATATATTGCATTAGCTTGGGTTTTCCGGAATTACAGCTGATTTCATCAGATGTGTGTAAAATTTAAATTAATAGGGATGGGTCAGTGGGGGAAGGAAGGAAACGATTAGGTAGTTTTATAAATGAAGATTCATAGGATTAGATTACAAATATATTATCAATTAACGATTGCATTAAAAATCATTTGTTCAGACTTCCTGAGAGCCTGAAAGCTATTGTTGTATTTGTTCATCACGGCCCAATATCATCCTGACAGTGAAGTAATGCTATGGGCATTACCTTTTATGAGAAATAAAATCCAAACTCCACAACTGAACAACAGCACACACAAAAATATGGAAACTTGAAACTCTTGTAGCATTTTGGCTATTAGCAAACTATTTATTTATAGGACATTTTCCTCATGATTGTTTTTAATATTATTAATTACCAGAAGCATTATTTCTTCCAGTAGTTTCTTCCTTTTTGAGTTAATGATATGTTAAAGCAGGGGTGTCAAACACATGTCGTCATGGCGGTGTCACGTGACGTATTTCCTCTTCACTGAAACGGGCGTGGGCATGGCCAGCGCATGATGCATCCAGCCCATGGGCCGGGAGTTTGACAGCTCTGTGTTAAAGACTAGCTAAGGAAACTTAACAGTTTTTAATTTTTTTCCCTTTAAGATACAAAGGTGACATGACATTGATTAATGAACAGTCACTGTTCCTGACTTTTGCTGTAAAAATAACAAACTTCCAAGTAATCCAAGATGTGATGTTTTGACAAAAAAGAAACACTAGGCTTTCAAATGAAATAGCATACATTTACTTCCCAGCTGTAATTGTTCCTTGCACTAAAAAAGAATGGAAGGAAGACAATCCCTTTTTCAACACTGTCTCTTTAACAGTAGTAGGCCTTAGCAGATGATCACCATCACCATCATCTCAAAAAGCTTCCGTTGGTGATTTGCACAGATCAAATTTTAATTGGATGGGAAACTTACAGGCTTCAAAATATTGCCAGAACTACAGCTTGCAGCTTTTGTCACCATTGGCTGTGTGGTCCGAGAATGCTGGGAGTCTGAAGGCTATAAATTCCCCAATGAGAGGGAGCAGCAAGCCAAGCCTTTTCTTTTGATAGACACAAACATCTTCCCCAATGCCTGATGGACCTCTCTGTCGCTTTTCTAGGTTTACTGCTAGGCATATCTATGCTAACTTGGAATTTATATCCTTAGATTTACTTTCTGCCTTTTCTGTAAGAATTCAGGGCCTTTTCCCTAGGCATTCTTCCCATTGCACTTTTCTTTTGGAACAAATATGTAAGGTAGGCCAAAAGTCCATCCAGGAGCTTCGTGTCCAAGCAGGGACTTGAACCCAGAACTCTCTTTAATCTAGAATGTAATTATTAGGTCACAATGGTTGTTTATATAGCACACTAGCCTTTGCAATGTAATGTATTGAATTATCTAAGTTTCCTTAGTATTTAAACCCATTAATTATGCAATTACATTTTAGTCTAGATAGAATATTCAAATGCAAACAATAGCTATTTGCAAAGGATGTTACCTTAACCTAACTGTGTTCAAAATTGGGGGGGCTCTTGAATGTTCATCCTCTTGTTGAATGTCACATCAGTTGGGAAGTGACCTGCTCCAGAGAAAAGCAGTGGCTGGTTTATATATAACATTGAACCAATATGGGGTTTATATTTGCTAAACAAAATGTATGAATTAGGTTCTATGCAATGGTGAAATTCAAATTTTTTTACTACCGGTTCTGTGGGCGTGGCTTGGTATGCGTGGCAGGGGAAGAATACTGCAAAATCGCCATTCCCTCCCCATTCCTGGGGGAAGGATATTGCAAAAATCTCCATTCCCACCTCACTCTGGGGCCAGCCAGAGGTGGCATTTGCTGGTTCTCCGAACTACTCAAAATTTCCGCTACCGGTTCTCCAGAACCTGTCAAAACCTGCTGGATTTCACCCCTGGTTCTATGGCTTAGTTAGCAAGTCATCGTGTAAAAGTCTGCCTTAATGTGGTTTCAGAAGTGGGGGAAGGGACACACATCTTTGACACCTCACAGAAAAAAGTCCAAGGTTGTCCTTCAACATACAAACATCAGCATCTGAAGTTTTTGTTGCCTTAGACTTCTGCCTTTTAAAGAACATGGCATGCAGAAGTGTCACGTGAGAGAGACTTTTTTTTTTTTAGGATTGACAGGTAGTTTCTAAATTAAGAACAATTGCTCATGTGGCTTTTTATAAATTTTTTGCACTTCTGCTTTTGTTGGCAGGCTTTTTATGATGATTTCTTCCCATTTTCATATCAAGTAACCTTGATCCCCATATCTCTCACGTGGTGTTTTTTTCTCCCTAAACCTAGTTCAGGCACAAAATGGGTCCTATAAGCCTTTCTGAGACATTTATGAAGCAATCCTGTCAACCTCGCTAATGGTGTAAATCAAAAGACATCCGGACAATATAAATTTCAGGGCTGTTGTGAACTGCGGCAAAAAGGAAGCTTGTGCAAAAGTGGTGAGAACAACAAGCCGACTTGAAGGCAGAAAGGTTGGTGGAATGATGCTCGGCTAAAACCGTGGTTCTCGTTCTGTCTGCCTAGTTATATAGATGCTGAACTTAATATTAGTAAAGGGTCTAACTTTTATACTTGTTATTTTCATTTTGTGTTCCTCTCATTCCATGGGACTCATGTTTTATACAGCCCTAATTTAAACCTAGCGATTTGGGACTACTAAGCCATGGTGACTGCAATAGGATTTACTTCTGAATGGACATGCACAGACTGGTGATGTATGGTGATGCAAATGAATGGTTCAGAACAGAAGTTTGAGTGGTTCCAGTGTAGAGGAAGGTATTATCTACCTTTAAAGGAGAATATTTGTAGCTCAGAGTTGAAATGAGGGGTCCTTGGTGTTCTCTGAGCTTGCTTGTTTTCTTGCAGAAGTTTCATTACTCTAACTCGGTAACATAATCCATGCTAGTACTGATGATGTTACCTAGTTAGGATAATGACATGTCTGCAAGAAAACAAGCAAGCTCAGAGAGCACCAAGGACCCCTTATTATCTATCTTATTGGCTTGAATTGGAGGTTTGTTTTTCCTCAATGCAAGGATACCCTGAGATAAGTTTTGCTTTTGATTCAGAGTAAGGAAGTATTTGCAAGATGGCGTTTTGTCTGTGGTGATTTCTGTTCTTCTGGGAGCCATAATCTCCAGTCCAAAACAGCTTGCCCCAATTCTTGCAGACCAGAAAAGGAATTAAGGGAGCTTGCTGCCTAAGCACTTGGTAGATTTGTTATGTGTTAATAATGAGCCTGACTGAACAGCTGAGAAATAAGCCAGGCTTATCTGGAGCCACAAGCTCCAGAAGAGATGGTGGAAGCTCAGAGTTCGTTCCATCTTTTCATTGATGGATCATGATGTGGTTTGAATCGGGTTCAGAAAATGGAGACCTCAATTTCAAAAATTAATCAAATTGTTGGTCAACAAAAAGGATATCAAAAGGGAAATTGATTTGTAAGAATTAGAGAAAGAGACTGTTAATCTCTGCAGGGCTTTTTAAATATAAATATATTTAAAAGAAGTCTCATCAAAATATTGTAAGTCGTTACATCTATCATAACGAGATATGAACTACAAAATGGGCTTTTGTTCAAATTGAAAGGATTATATAAGAAATGTATTGAGAAATCCTGTCTCAGGTTGTATTTAAAAGACTGTAGACTTACATTTTGAAATTCAGCTTTCCATTCCATCTGCCTAATATCTAACCATTTTATCACCATTAGCCTAAACTTGAAGAAAACCTGGACTCTGGTATAAAAGAATATATTTTGTCCTGAAGTGTTCTCACATTCTCTCTTTCTCTGTTTTCCTTTATGCTGGCAGCCCTACATTAGTGTCGGTTAAACCATGACCGACGTGTCTTCAAGGAAAAACAGTGAGATCAAACGTGAAGATTCCATCATGGGCTCTGGCCAGAAGGATGACAAGAGCAGCTGTAGTCCTGATCATTTACCACCTGTTGGCCAACATATACATAGATTCTCCTCTATCTCTTTGCCTCACAGCCCCAAGGAAGTTTGGAAAAAAGGCGGGCGTGTTTTCTCTATCCTGCTAGCCATCAACCTGATACTACTAGCATGCACTCTTGTCAGTGGTGGGGCATTCAAAAACGTCAAACTGCATGACTACGATGCCTTTTTCATGCTCACCATTGTGATGCTGATTGCCATCATCTGGATGCTGTTCTATATCTTCAGTACCTCCAAGCGGCAGGCTGCCATCCCTTACAAAGACAATCATGCAGGCCCTATCTGGCTAAGAGGTAAGGAGATGCTGGTTAAAGCATACCTTTGATTTGATAAGAGGCAAAGCAAAGCACAGCCAATATTGTCATGCTGGAGGAGTGCTGGGTTTATGAGTGCATCAGTCCTACCTGTGTTTGTTTTTTTTTAAAAATCTCAGTGGCTCCCATCACATTTATAAGATTCAAAATGTTAAATGCTTGTGAGTAAATGAGTACCGGGAAGGAAGCTGTGAATCAAATTGATCACAGCTCTGCAGAGTTAGACTTTAATTAGAGCTCACTAATGTTCAGGCAGCTCCTAAGCTAAGTCTTGGATCCAGTTCAAGCTTGATTGTGTGTAGCTGAGATATGATTAAATATGGTATTCTGGACAAGCATACAAGGAGTATGGATTGAAAATTATAATATAAAAGTGAGCAGGCAGCTCAGGTATCTTGTCTGAGCAAAATGATAACAAGTGTACCATAAGTCTCTCAGGGCTCAGTGAAAACTTGGAAATGGTGCCTACTTCTGGAATAAATTAGTCCTAAGGATTTGAAAGACTTCTGCTGCTCCTAAACATTATTTGTAGAAAAGAAGGTTTAACCTTACCATTGAAGTTGGACACCACACTTACTCAAGGGAAGATTTATAAACTAATCAATCAGTTTTACAAGTTTAGTAGTGCAATAAAATAGGACTCGGGTTTTGGCAGAATTGGGGCATCCCTTGTCTTCTTTCCTGGGCTGAGGAAGATTTGTCATGGCTGTGAGCTCCATAGAACTAAATTAAAGAGTTTGGATTGTGTATTTATTTTGGGAAGATAATGACATTTGTTTCCTAAAACAGGTGGCTTGGTCTTGTTTGCAATCCTCACATTGGTGATGGATATATTCAAGACAGGATACTTCAGTTACTACCAGTGCATATCAGTCATCAAAATCATGTATCCAATTGTGCAGGCTGTGTTTGTAATTGTCCAGGTGAGTTTGTAACTGTTATGTATTTAAACATATTTATATGCAATCAAAAGCCAATTGGTTGGGGGAGGCATATAGTAGGGAGAAAATAAAAGCTAGATAAAGCTTGAATAGACACTAAATGGTAGGAGGGTGCTACTCAGTTTAAGAGGGTAGCTTGAATTGCAGTAATATTTTGTTCCTTAGAATAAGCATAGCAAAACAATTGGTTTGTGAGCACCAATAATGACACACAAATTCGTGAAGCATTCCATTTTTTTTTAGGGGCGTGCATAAGCGCACCAACGTGTCTACCGCCCCTATCTTACTGTCCCCATTTATCCGTATCCATTTCCTGTATTCATAATCGTGTTTATACTTACATCTGTTATCTTATACATGCTTGACAAAATAAATAAATAAATATTTCAAGTATAATTAAATGTCAGGCACAAACAACCAGACCCACATGTACAGGATTTAAGCTAGCTACTTTATTAGATTCTGTCTATAATACAGGAATCTACCCAGTCTGGCAGCCTACTCCTGGAACAATTAGATAAGGCTTCAAGGAACTTGGGGGAAAGGGGGAAGGGGCTTCAGTTGCAGTCCTTTTGCAGTTGCACAGTGACTCCAGGCTAGCTCCATGCTTAATCCCCCTTCCCTGCCAGGTTGGGTGCTTCCCAACATTAAATAATCTATAATCTGGTTGTGAGATGTGGGAGCTAACGAAAATGTAACAAATCTTGAAATATATCAAAATGGCTGGGATCCCCGTGTTGTAATTACTAGCAATAAGTGTTTTAGAATTTGGATAGCAAAATCCTGCAAAATGTGTTCCAATAAGTCTAGGAAACTCAGAGGTGGGTTGCAGCAGGTTCTGACCAGTTCTAGAGAACCGGTAGCAAAAATGTTGAGTAGTTCGGAGAACCGGTAGTAAAAATTCTGACTGGCCCCACCCCCATCTATTCTCTGCCTCCCAAGTCCCAGCTGATCGGGAAGAAATGAGGATTTTTCAGTAACTTCCCCTGGAGTGGGGTGGGAATGGAGATTTTACAGTATCCTTCCCTTGCCATGCCCACCAAGCCACACCCACAGAACCAGTAGTAAAAAATTTTGAAACCCACCACTGAGAAAACTCTATCCTGGTCATGCCCAGGATAACAAGATGCTATACAAAGCAAATTTAAAACTTACATTATTTTTTTCTTTCTAGACTTATTTTCTGTGGGTCTCTGCCAAAGACTGTGTTCATGTACATTTGGATCTTACCAGGTGAGTATCAAGATCATTCAACAATATGTCTTTCAATCTTATTAAGCTGCAGGTGTCATTGACTGAATGAAAAATAGGCTGGGTTTGGGCAGACAGAATCTCAGTGCATTATCTGTAGTAATATTAGCAATAGTGTCCAACAAAGAAGGTAAAAGACCTTTTCCAAGGATCATGTTGGATCTGGGAAGGATTTCTGGAGGACTTGTCTTTTTCACTTTTCTGAATTTTTTTCCATTGGGTAATATGATGTAAAAAGATTAAATATCAAAGCTGGTGATAATTCTGAATAGAGTATTTTCTTGCTTTAGAGTAAAAGTGGGCAAACTTGGAGAGCCAAGTTCACCAAATTGAGAGCCCCCAAATCCTTAATCCATGGGATAGTCATTTCAAAACAGGATGGGCAGCAAAGAAATTTAATAAATAAATAAAAATAATAACACAGCCAGGATTTTCCTTTACATTTGTGATAGTGTAATAGTTTTAACATGGTTTGTTAAAATTATACCAAACCTACTTTATAGTTTAGTCTACTATGTTCATTTACTACAATGAACAATCACTTGCCAATTGCTACTCTGTAATATGTCATGGTTCACAGAATAATATGACAGGCCCTAAGGATGCTATATTAGCCAACTGAAAATGGTTTCTATCAAAAGGAAGAAGCTGTATGAGAAATATTTGCAACCAGGAGAGTTAAGATCATTTTGAAATGTAATTAAATTACGAATAACCTTAAAGTATTTCAGTTAAGGTTGATCACTACTGTTTATTTGCTCTGTCTCTGAAGGTAGGTTGGGTGTTTAGAATGAATAGAGCTTATTCATTAAACCGAAATTCTCTATTTTTCTATGATAGATGTGGACTGATGCTCATTTTAACCACCAATCTAGCAGTGTGGATGTCAGCTGTAACAGATGAATCAGTGCATAAGGCTGAATCTAAAAAACCAGATGGAAATATATCACACAGGATGGGTAAGTTGACTGGGAAACATAAGAATTATGATAAAATGAACCTAGAGGGCATTACTTTAAGGCAGAGGTCCACAATCTTTCCACCTTGGCAACCAGGCCCGGCGTGTGAGTGGCAGGAACACGCGTGCACATCTCCATCCACAGCTCCATCCACAAAGCATGTGAGCACAATGGAACTTCACACATGCATGCATGCTTGCTCACCACTCGCACGCCACTCATGTGAGTGGAACCTTGCATGCGCACGCACATGCACACTTGCCCATCACTCATGCAGCCCAGTTTCAACAGGCCGCAGCCTGATAGTGGGCCAGGGGTTGAGGACCCCTGCTTTAAGGAAAACTGTCTTTCAGTGTTAGGAGGATTTGGTTGGGTTCTGTCTTCTCTTGCCTAGCATTGATCATTATCTGGGCGTCCTCCTGGACGCATGGCTGTCTTTAGAAGAACATATGACGGCCGTGGCCAGGGGGGCCTTTTATCAGGTTCGCCTGATCCGCCAGTTGCGGCCCTTTCTGGACCGCGACGCCTTGCACACAGTCACTCATGCCCTTGTCACCTCCCGACTGGACTACTGCAATGCTCTCTACATGGAGCTCCCCTGGAAAAGCACCCGGAGGCTCCAACTGGTCCAGAATGTGGCCGCGCGGGTGGTTATGGGCGCAACTCGTTGCGCCCACGTGACACCCCTCCTGCGCGAGCTGCACTGGCTCCCAGTGGTCTTCCGGGTGCGATTCAAGGTGTTGGTTACCACCTTTAAAGCGCTCCATGGCATTGGACCTGGATACCTTCGAGACCGTCTTCTGCCACCAGTAGCCTCCCACCGGCCAGTTCGCTCCCACAGAGAGGGTCTCCTCAGGGTGCCATCAGCCAAATTATGTCGGCTGGCGACACCCAGGGGGAGGGCCTTCTCTGTGGGAGCCCCTGCCCTTTGAAATGAACTGCCCCCAGAAATTTGTAAAATTTCTGATCTCCGTGTATTTTGCTGTGCCCTCAAAACCATGTTGTTCCGCCAGGCTGGGCTATCAATGTAAAGATTTTAATTGGTTTTAAATGGGATTTTAAATTTGGGGTTTTATAAATTGGGCCTATTATTTAATAATTTTAATTATTTTTAAATTTTGTCTGTCTTTGTGTTTTTAATTAGGCTGTACACCGCCCTGAGTCCTTCGGGAGAAGGGCGGTATAGAAATAAAATTAATAAATAAGTAAAATAAATCAAACAGGGACACAGTCCAACAGATAACAAATAATAGAGGCAGGAAATTTAAAAAAATAAAAATGTAGAGCTTGAACCCTTCGAGGCCTATCTCTTTCTCAACCCCAAATAAACACATATACAGGTAGTCCTCGACTTACGACACAATTGAGCACAACATTTCAATTGGTAAATGAGACATTTGTTAAGTGAGTTTTGTCTCATTTTACAACCTTTCTTGCCACAGTTGTTAAGTGAATCACCAGAGTTGCTAAATTAGTGACAAAGTTGTTAAGTGAATCTGACTCCCCCATTGATTTTATTTATTTATTTTTATTTTATTTTATTAAACTTGTATGCCGCCCTCTCTCCCAAAGGACTCAGGGCGGCTCACAACAATAAAAACACATAAAATTCCATATACAAATGTAAAACCAATAAAATCCCTTTAAAAAACCCCATCAGTCCAATCCGGCCAGGCCAAATAACCATGTTTTGAGGTCATGGCAGAAAGAGCGAAGGTCAGGGGCCATCCGGAGCTCCAGGGGGAGCTGATTCCACAAAGTGGGCGCGCCCACAGAGAAGGTCTGCTCCCTAGGAGTCACCAGTCAACACTGGTCGATGGGACCCCGAGGAGGCCCTCCCTGTGAGAGCGCACCGGGCGACGGGGAGCTGTTGCTCGCCGCAGATGGTCCGCCAGGTACCCCAGGCCTAAGCCATTTTTTTTTTGTCCATCTTTTTGCTGGACAGAAAGTTGCAAAAGAGGATCACATGACCCCGAGACAGTGCAACCATCATAAATGTGGACCTGTTGCCAAGTGTCCAAATTTTCATCACGTGAGCATGGGGATGCTGCAACGGTCATAAGTGTGAAAAATGGTCATAAGTCGCGTCTTTCAGTGCCATTGTAATTTTAAATGGTCACTAAATGAATTGTTGTAAGTCGAGGACTACCTGTCCTTTATTTGTTCATCTTTTTATAATTAGCCATTTGGCTCCAGAGTGGGTGGCTAACATGTAAATAAATTCATTAAAGAATAAGATAAATATTATAAACCAATAAAAATATAATCAGCTGGCCCAAATACACTTCAAATCTCCAGACAATCTATATTACTGTACTTAAACTGTAAATCCACTTTCCTAAAAAGCCATATTTTTGTTGTTCTGGAGAGAGGTGAGAATGTGTGGGTCATTCAGATTATTGATGGGGCAGTTGCAGAAAAGATTTCCAGGTCCATTCCTCCTTGATCTATTAAAGAAAAAGAATGCAGGACATCTCTTCATGAGTGAATTAAACCAGGCACATAGATAACCTCTATTTTGGTAAAAGATATAATTGTGGACATAATGCATATCACAAGAATAATACGTAAAGAAACATAGGTCAGTTTAATCCTCCTTGAAGGAGAGGAGGGATTGAAAGGTAATTCAAAAATCTCCTCCTGTTGAGTTTTGAAAGATCATAGAGTTGGCTCTGAGAGTAGACCTCTTATTTCAGTATCATTCAAAATTCTTGATCGATGTCATTTTCAATCAAAAAATTTTTAATCTTAAAATAATCTTGACAGGCTTTCCTTCTCTCTCTGCAGTTGATCTAAAAGAAAGCTCCTCTGACAACTGTGGTTGCAAAAGTAACATCTGCCAAATCTTCAAGAATGGTTACTTTTGGCTGTATCCTTTCAATATTGAGTACAGCCTTTTTGCTTCTGCCATGATCTATGTAATGTGGAAGAACGTTGGCCGCATCATGGACCACCATTCCAACCACATCCATCACCTCAAGTTTAAGCTTTTCAAGAGGACTTACTTTTTGGGTTTCATAATGGGACTCTTGATCATAGTGTCTGGCATAGCAATCCTGATTGTGTATGAAATCCAGATCAATTCAAAAAACAAAGCTAAAGTGAAGAATCAGGTGCTCACCATGTACTACACTTTCAATATTGTCTGCCTGAGCCTGATGTCGCTCATCTCTGTGGGTGGCTCCATTGTTTATAGATTTGACAAGAGAGACATGGACCGTGAGAAGAATCCAACTAGAACGCTTGACGTGGCCTTATTAATGGGTGCAGCCTTAGGGCAATATGCCATTTCCTATTACTCTATTGTGGCCACTGTGGCCAGTTCCCCAAGGGACACGATCAATGCCCTCAACTTGACCTATTCCTTGCTGATGATTGCCCAGCACACTTTCCAGAACATTTTCATAATTGAAGGACTCCATCGGCAGCCCTTAAAAAGGGAAAGCAAAGTGGACCATCAGGAGAAGGACATTTATGGTCTCACTTTTGTCAACTTAAATGCTGTATCGCTTCGTGTCCCTGAAAATGGAAACGCTTTATCACCAACATCTCCAGGGCTAGCCATCCAGGCTCCTCATGAAATAACACGGTCCATCAGTGTCTCCAAGAAAGTGAGCTGGCGGAGGAGATTCTTAAAAGAAAGCTCATTATTCCTGCTCCTGTGTAATGTAATTGTAAGTAGGACCATTTTATTTGAGCTAAAATTGGATTAGTCATCAATAGCATGTAGATGAGTAGGATTCCTTTGTTCTTGTCAAATAGTAAAAGATAGAGCTAGCTTCAATCCTGTTATTTCACCAAAACACCTTCACACTGAAATATGAAGCTTTGCTGATCTTATTGAATTGTCTCAACTATAACTTCAACAAACATACACACACCCAATCTCTACCAAACATGCCCAAGAGTTGCAGCCAAGTTAATTAGGAACTAACAGCCAACTAACTAGACTGAGGAAAAACAAACTAGAAAATACAATTGACGTGGAGCTGCTACCACTACTTCAGTTCCCTTTTTTTCTTCTTCTTGGAAACCAAACATGTGACATTGTATTGTTTTCTTTACTATGCTTCACATCACTGGCAGATAACAAAGAGGAGAGGAAGAGAAGTATGAAACATATCATGTGAAAGGTGATGCCTATATCCAAAAAAAAGGCCAAGGATCAGCTGAGCCATCCATTTCTTCCCGGCTTTCTTTAAAATAGCATTCTAAAGAGAGTAGCAGTTGTGCATAACTTGACTACTATCTTATAGTAAATAAATATTCTCTAGATTCTGTTTAATGGTGTTCAGTTTCCCAGATTTTATATTAAGAGAAACTAGTTCTAAAGCGGAGTAAGTGCAAAGCTATCTCCCTCTCCTCCTCCAGCTGTTTTTCAACCGTTTAAAAGCTGTACAAATAAATACAAATGTGGCACCTTTTTTAAAATAAAAGGAGCTGCATAAGCAGCAAGAAGAGAGGCAGGACTAAGTAATAAACAACAATTAGGTGCGTTCTGCACACATTGTAAATGAAGGGAAAAGCTGAATTTGTCTTGTGAAAGGCTGCCTTGCAGTTCTTGCTGTTTGTCATACATATTTTACTCAGGGGTGGGTTCTAAAATTTTTACTACCGGTTCTGTGGGCGTGGCTTATTTTATGGGCATGGAATGGTGGGGGGTAAGAGGTTGCAGAAAAAAATGCTTTTAGAAGCCTTAAGAGGTTGCAGAAGAAAATGCTTTTAGAAGCCTCTGACAATCAGGCAACTCAGCTGGGATCACCAGAGGCTTTTAAAGGCATTTTTTTTCCTACAACCTCTTCAGCAAAGAGGTTGAAGAAAAAAATGCTTTTAGAAGCCTCTGACGATCCCAGCTGAGCCGCGCGATCATCAGAGGCTTTTTTTTTTTACTTTTAAAAGCATTTTTTCGGCCGAAGAGATTGTAGAAAAAATGCTTTTAAAAGTAAAAAATAAAAAAAGCCTCTGATGAGGTGGGTGGGGTAAGCAAGAGGCAACACGGCTGGGGACCGGACAATGTTATTACCAGTTCTCCGAACAACTACAAATTTTTACTACTGGTTCTTGCGAACCGGGAACAACCCACCACTGACTTGACTGCACCAAAGTAGTTTGAATAAATTAATGATTTTTACATTTTGTGCAGTTGTATCCCAACTTTTCTCTAGAGAGCTCAAGACACGTTATAATGGATCAGCCCTCATTTTTTTATCCTCACAAGGCTGTAATACCGTTTCTGTGATGGAAAAGGAAAAGGAAATGGAAATATGCATCTAGCACTCATGAAGAATTCTGGGAAACTGACATGAAGGAGGGGGAATAGATTTGTGGCACTGCACAAGATTTAGGGGTCTTGTCAGTTTGGCATAGATATTTGGGGTAAATCAAAATTAACAACATTCTAGGGCAGTGTTTCTCAATCTTGCTGTTATTCTGAGCCACCCAGAGTTGCTCAAGAATTCAGTTCCCAGAATTCTGCAACCAACAGTCCACACATTTTAAAGCCGCCAAGGTTGAGAAACGCTGTTCTAGGGTACTTCACACTCCTATGGATCATGGTCATTGCCTCAAAGAATTCAGTGACGCAGAGGCATGTCAGTTAAATGTTAAACAGTGGTCTAAAGCACCCTGTTATTAACACAGCTGCCTGCAATTACTGCAGGTTCGAATCTTACCAGGCTCAAGGTTGACTCAGCCTTTCTAAGGTAGGTTAAATGAGGATCCAGTTTGTGGGGGCAATAAGCTGACATTGTATAAATATACAAAAGTATGAAGGCTATTGCTTAACGCATTGTAAGCCGCCCTGAGTCTCCGGAGAAGGGCGGCATATAAATCAATTTTTTTAAAAAAAATGTTTAGACTTAGATGTCATCGTTTCTGATGCTCTTAGGATCAGGCTGTCCTGTGTTTAATCTTGCATCGAGATATCTCTTGCATCAAGAACTGTGCCTCGCTAGTCTCGTTCTTCCTTGTTTTTACTTGCTGACAGTGCTGTTATCTTTTGTCTCTTTCCTGAACAGCTCTGGATTATGCCTGCGTTTGGAGCCCGGCCGCAATTTGATAATACCACAGAGCTTGAATTCTATGGCTACCCCATGTGGGCTGCTATTGTGGACATCTGCTTGCCCTTCGGCATCTTCTACCGCATGCATGCTGTTGCTAGCTTAACAGAGGTCTACGTCATGTCCTAATGGAGAAATGAAGAACTTTTTAGAAGAGCCCACATTTCTTATACCACCCAGGACTTGAAAGCCTAAAGAGCTGCACTGAGGGGGTTGACTTCCTTTGGGCGCCAGGCCCAGTGATTTGATGGGCATTATCAAGAGAACTGACAATAGCCGAAACAAAATCCCCCCTTTTTTTTCTATTTAAATGACTCCTTTTCTTGATAATCATCTTCAGTTATTTTTTGTTTTCTACCAGATATGCAGACATCAAGGACCCTATGTAGGCTTAGATTCACTCCTGGTCACTTTAAAGGACATTTTGACTTCAGTAGAGCAGTCTGAGGAGTCACAGCTTGAAAGAAGAATTTAGTGAATGTTGAAGACTGTTAAAAGTAACTGTGCCTTTGTGTCATTTGGATGGCTTCATAAGATTCCTTCCTGACCCTTCAATCCCTTTTCCAGTGATTTATGAAGGCCTCAGGAATGCGAACCTGTTAAAGCTCATACATGATAAGAAGAATCCTGGAGCCGTTCTGGGTTTCGATGGGACTTCCTTGCTGTCCTGAATCAGGGCCTGAAGACTGTATGAGTCCATCTAAAGGGTTATTCTGTCAGGAGCGTAATAAGAAATGTTAGTTTTTAACGATAGTTTGATTTTTTTAATGAGCCTATTTTTATAAAATGTACATATTTATTGATTCTCATTGTGATAATTAAAAGGGAAATGAAGCCCCAGAGAACCACCATAAGGAAAACACTTCCCCGCATGCCCAAGCTTAATCGTCTAGCAGTGTTTAACCGGCAGCCTGCCAAAGGTGGTACTTCCTCTGCTGCTTCAGCTCAGAGTTTGTAGCAAGGGGGATGTTGTTCTCCTTCATATCCCACTGGAGGATCTCTTTTAGGACGATGATATGAAGTATCTACAACTCTGTATAGAGCTAGATTAGTTAGATAGTGCTTCCTTCACAAAATCATATACACAAACACACACACACCTTTTAGTATAGTTCACACCTTAGGATAATGGTCATATAAATAATTCCAGGTCTTCTGCATTGGCTTAAGATCATCATTGTGTTACTAAGCCCGCATAGCACTAAAAAGAGAAATTGGCCATCAATGAGAACCTATGGAGTTTATTCCTTTATATTACCCTTAGTTAATTTTGTTGTCCCTTTAAATGCATCAAAACATATTTTCTGTCACCTTCTATCTTCATGTTAAAAGTTTTGGGCATGTTGCTGGAGCGATGGGAACTTTGGCAATCAGGCTGGAGAGGATTGCTGGAGAGGATTGCTCCTCTCTTTTTTGGCCACTGTTGAGGCATCTCTCCTAGGCTTGTATTTGGATGTACCGGTAGAGCAAATTCTGTGCATCTTTGTATTAAATTTAAAACATGTAGTTTAATTCTATATGACCATAAACCACAACTGATAAGAGGATAAATTAATAGAATACATGTTTTCATTCCCAAAAAGTAAATAAATTTTGCTGGTCCTAATTTTCAAGATTAGAGTTCCCTATTCCCAGCTTCAATAACAGTTTATGAAGATGTTATTTGATTAATGTGGTGATTAATTGAACAGGACTAGGAGATTCTTCACAATGTTAGACTTTCTGAATTCAGTCTTTGACATGCATAGCAGGATAGTTACACTATCTTTGTCTTTATGCATATGTAAAGCCAATCTGGTGGAAAATTTGATACTGGATTCTATCTAGAAGTATTCTGACCTGTTTTAATGATGGCCCAAAACTGAGCTTATCTAATTCTTTCCAGTGCACAAGGTAACAGCTGTGCTAATGATAGGAACTTTTGACATATTTCAATCTGTGGAAGAATTTGACTAGAGCTGTAGTTGATCATCACAATAGTTATTTAATTGCACTGTTTAAGAGTCCCATTTTTTTCTTATGAAATTGTATTTATAATGGAAAGAAATGTGATTTTGGAAAATGGCTTGAGAGAGAGTAAAGATGACAGGCTCCACAGAAGTTAAAATATCTCAGATGATAGAATAAAAGGAAATTGTTCCACTTTGTCCTGCATATCTTATTTGCTTCTGAAATTTATTATTTGCCTGTTTCATTAACCTGCTTTCAAGAATTTTTTTTTTCACTGAGCAGCTTTGGAATCTTAAGAAAAAAAATCATGCTGCAGTCAGCATGCTATAATGACGACAGGAGGTGGATATCAGAATAGGAAAGCCAAAAGAAAGGCAAAGGTAGTTCGTTAAACAGAACTAGAATCAGGTTATTTACTTGTGAATTCATGTCTTGCTTGATTTTCCTTCCAACATCCTGTTCAGGAACGGTGTTTGTGATTAGTGGTGCTATTTCCACCATGGAGATTGGGAAAGGACTGATTTCAGAAACGAAACTGAACAATGAAAGACTTTATTGTGGTCATTAACCAGCACAGTCAGGGAAACATGGAATATTTGATATCTCTCAGTTAGCAATTATTGCTGAATCTGTGAACTTATCATTTACAACAGCTATAGCAACAACATATTGCCTAAATCTAATAATCATATATGAAGCAGCCTTAAGGTGTCCCTAGCTGTACTGTCATATTTTTTTTCCCTTGTCCAACACAGGTTGTGGCTATGGAGTTAATCTGTTGCATTTCATGGATCATTCAGTCCAGTGGCACAGTCAGGTGATTCCCAATAAGTACATAGGTTTAGGGCTGGTGAGGACATTCTTCCTCCCCACTAGTCCTTCAACTTTGTTTTCCAGCAGCTTTGGACACTTGGAGAATCCAGTCCTTTCCAACCATCTCCCCCTTTTCCTGCCTAGTCTCTGGGCGAAACAGTTCAAAAAACTGGATCAGAGAGGACAAGAATGGGGCTGCGTAATTAAGCAGAAGAGAGCCGATAGCTTTTAATACTTCATGAGTTGTTTGGGTTTCTTTTGATCATAGACTTAGAGCTTTTCTGGGTCAGTGCTGAACCCATGCCCAAAAGGAGCATATCAACTGATTGCAGATGTTTTTGAACGCACCCTCATGAAACATTTGCACAAGGCAAGTTTAACCATCTGTCAGAACTAATTTCGTCTCCATCCCATATTAGCAAGAGTGATTGGTGAATTTTTTCTTACTGGTTTGTGATGTTGATGGGAACGGAATGAAACAAAGCTGGAGGAATCTATCAATTCCTCTCCTTAATATACCATAAATAAAAAGGAATTATAAGGACCATTTCATTTCATTTCATTTTATTAAATTTGTATACCGCCCTACTCCCGAAGGACTCAGGGCGGTGAACAGGCACGAAATAAAACACAGATACAAAAGTTAAAACATGATTAAAACCCAATTAAATAATTTTTGCCCGAGACAATTTAAAACTCCCAATAATTTAAAATGAATTAAAATTTGAGTTTAAAAATTTAAAAGAAGGGGAAAAAATTAGGCCAGGCCGGCCTGCTGGAATAGGAGTGTCTTCAAAGCACGGCAGAAAGTGCGCAGATCCGGGATCCTCCGTATCTCCGGGGGGAGCTCGTTCCAAATAGTAGGTGCCCCCACAGAGAAGGCCCTCCCCCTAGGGGCCGCCAGTCGACATTGTTTGGCTGACGGCACCTGGAGGAGCCCCTCTCTATGAGAGCGTACCGGCCGGTGGGGGGCTGTTTGTGGTAGTAGCTATAGCAAATTTTACACCAATCTTTTGCTGGTTCAAAGATTGGTAGGTAGCATTTTAATTCAGCATAATGACAAAGCTTGTTTTTTTATCTATACAGTAACATCTTTTTAGATTACAGATCTGACCACCTGTTAACAAGAAGTAATCATCTGTTAATAGTTGGATGTTATATTATTAACAAATTGTCCACTTTGATCAATACTATTAAATTTCAGTCATTGGAATTTAGCAAGTTATTTTCCATTTTGAGGTAGGGAATGTGAGATTGATAGTGAACTGCTTAAAATGAATTTCTTTACAGTCTCCTGAAGGCACAGCCAGATAGCCATCTTAAAGTGTTGAAAGTGAAGAAAGCAAAAAGTCCTTTGCCCCAATTGTCACTTGTTATCCTGTCACAGTAATGAAGCCAACAACCAGGCCTGCCTCTGCTGTTTTAGTTTGAGGCAAGTTAAAGAAAGTGATTGATCAATCCTTTTCCTCTTCTACCAAGTGGCATCTCTGAAGGAAAAAATAACCTTCGTTCCAATGGTGAAATCCAATTTTTTTTACTACCGGTTTTGTGGGCGTGGCTTGGTAGGCATGGTGTGGCTTGGTGGGCGTGGCTTTGTGGGAGTGGCAGGGGAAGGATATTTCAAAATCCCCATTCCCACCCCACTCTGGGCCCAACCAGAGGTGGCATTTGCCGGTTCTCTGAACTACTCAAACTTTCTGCTACTGGTTCTCCAGAACCTGTCAGAACCTGCTGGATTTCACCCCTGCCTAGGTAAACCAATGATGTCAAACTCGCATCGTCACAGCGGCATCACGTGACATATTGGGACTTTTTTCCCCCTTCGCTAAACCCGGCAGGGGCATGGCCAGCGTGTGATGCATCTGGGCTGCGGGCTACGAGTTTGACAGCCGTGGGGTAAATGTTGGCGAGTTCATCTATCTACCAATTAGGTTGTCCAACTAATTGGACAACTGATTGGAATCACATGTGCTCCAATTCTATGGCTGTCAAGCTATTTCCAAGCATGAGCCTAACTGTCTTTTCAAAGAACTGGCAGTGCTGGCAATAAGTCCCATTCCACCCTCAGGACTGCCACATTCACAACCAGGCTGCAGACAGCCAGGAATCTGGAATGGGGGAGGGAAAAAGGTGAGCCCTCCCCAAGTAATAAAATTGGGGATGTGGAAAACAATGGCCACCTGAAACTCCTCCTTAGAGAAGCAGTAATGATCTTACCATGCACTCAGTGGTGATTGAACCAGGAACACTTAGCTGGCAGAGCCCAAGTCTCTCTCTCCCCGTTTCAGTGGAATTTTGTGCAGCACAGGATTGTGCTTGAAAACCTGTCTGTAGAAGAAACCCACATGAAAACCTCAAAATGCTTTGGAAAGTGCCAGAGAGTGCATGGGCAGAGATCTCTAGGGAAGCCAGGTGTCTGGCCCAAACCAAAACTCTTGATTCCCAACAACCGCAAGGGAGAGATTATGCCCACCACACAACCCTAATAGATGCTGGCAGATCTTACTCCTAGAGGTAACGACCACATTACCAACTGCATCACCAATGAAGCGTGTTGCGGCAAATACTGTATTGGGAGGACAGAGGAAACACCTCTTTAAAATTGAATGGAAAAAATGTCTTTATGCTTCCTCAGTTGTAAGTGTGGGAATGAGGCAAAGGCAACATCAAGAGGGCATGGCATGGAAACAGTTACCAGGTATCTTTATGCTAAACATATGGGGATGTGAGAAAGAGCCCTAAATCTCTCTCTAAAGGTAGAAAAATGAAAAATCCTGTCTTTGTCATGTACGCCGACTTTGCATCGTCACTCAACTCAGGAGGAGCCTGGCCATTCCTTCAAATTTACGCATGACCACCAGTGTCAGCGTAAGGTGTGATGCCAAGGCGGTACAGCTGGCTCAGACAGCAAGTAATGAGTCTGGGTGGGGTAATGACAGGGCATTCAGGAAAAAGCAGGCAGGACTAAGCAGGCTCAAGGGAAATCATAGGGTAGGGAGACTGAACAGATAGAATAGCACAAGAGAAGAAGAATACAGGGAAGGAATCAATAAGGAGTTTCAACTAATCAGCTGCTTCCATGTGACCTTCAAATCTAAGGCAACACAACCAATTAATTTTAATTGGCCAAACTGAGGGGCAGACAAAGGAGAAAGGGGAGGTTTCAAACACTTTACAGTAGCGGCCCCCAAACTTTTGGGCACCAGGGACCAGCTCTGTGGAGATTCTCAGTCATCCAGGTCATGGTTGTCCCAAAAGTGCTTTTTCAAGAGGAGAAAGGTTTTTCCATGGACCGGGGGATGGGGGGCATAGTTTTGCATGCTGCCTGCATCCCACGGATGAGGTTCCGCTTATTTACACGGCATGCCGCTGCCCGGTATCAGTCCATGGACCGGGGGTGAGGATCCTTGCTTTACAGTATTAAAGAATCTAAAGAAACACTTTCTGACTGGGAGCTTCTTAAGATGTGTTTTCTGCAGGATGAAGAGAGTTAGCCAAATCTACACAGCACTACCAAAAGTTCCTGAGTGGGAGGACACAGAGAAAAAGAGAGAGAAAGGTGGGGGAGCTGTACATTTCTTACATTTCATATTCCCAGCCTAAGGAAGAAGGACCCCAGTACCTATGTACAGTATTTGGAAATATCAGCCAGAAACTTTAAAGGAAAATGACTTGAATATGTTCATTTGTGAACTGAGGATAAATTCAGTAGCAACAATTGCTGAAGGGCATGGGTGGAATAGTATGCAGAATTTCTCTCAGGTTGCAACCATCTATCTCAGATTTGTTTTTTTTATGAGCAAAACATTCAAAACCTGAAATGCCCGATCATAATTAAATTTTAGCAAGACATCATCAGGGCATAAAGCATGCCATCCTTGGTCCAGGAGTTGCAGGCAGCTCTGACTCTCTTATTAAAGCTAAAGGTTTCCCTATTAGTGTCTGACTCTAGGGCATAGGGCTCATCTCTGTTTCTTGGCCAAGGGAGCCAGCATTGTCCAAAGACAATTTTCGTGGTTATGTGGTCAGCATGGCAATACACCAAAATGTATACAACCATATACAGTGATGTCTTCCCACCAAAATGGTATATATTTATCTATTTAAACTGTTAGGTGGGCAGGAGCTGAGGCAAGTAACAGGAGCTCACCCCATCGCACGGAGCTTGGGTCTCAAACCTGGGCGGTCAGCTCTGGGTCTCAGACCTGGGCAGTCAGCTCTCCTGCTGACCTCAGTGTGAGACATCACACCCCCTTTATTAGTGACCCCTAAATTCCCTCTGAGAACAAGTGATTCCACCCATGTGTCTTCACATCAGTACTCTGCATCCTTGCAGTAGAAGAAAAATAAAAATAAAACATTTTAATAGTGTGACCTCTGCCACAGAGAAT